GATCTATAAAAAATATGTATTTTATACTAAAGCAGTGATTAAAAAAAAATGTCTTCCCAAGAGTTTCTTCTTTATCAAACCAAATGTTTATAAGGTAACCCAGGAACGTGTTAGGGGTGCTAGTGTGAGAATTTGAAAACAGTGTTTTCATTTTCAATAGTTTATTATTTTCAATTTCTGTAATGCAGGTGTATCACTTGTACTTTTAAACTAATTTATGAAAGGAAATTTTATAACGTATGAAATCATTAGTTGAAATATTTTAACATTAATTTTCTAGTATTCTTTATAATAAACATGTAACTATGCAATTCTTCTGCCTCAGCTGGCCAACTAGCTGGAATTATAAGCACCAGCCACCACGCCCAGCTAATTTTTGTATTTTTTTTTTTTTTTTTAGTAGAGATTGGGTTTTGAGGCAGGTGGATCACTCGAAGTTGGGAGTTAGAGAACATATTTTAAAAAGCCCACTCTGTAGAATATGAAATGGGACTGCAAACCATGCAAATTAGGAAACATATGTTTTCAGAAAAACGAATTAAAATCTAAGAAAGATGAGAGGGGAGGATTTGAGGGGGAAGTTGGCAGATACTTTTAAGTATGTTGATACCTCATTATCCTACTTAAGCAGGATAATTTTAAGTACATCAGTAGTTGGAAGAAAAGCAATGAGCAAGGACAGCTGATAGAGCAAGTCTCCAATTAACTGGGCTTACAGGCACAAATAAAGTTTTAGCATTGGAAAATAATACAAAAACCTTTCTGAGTTGAGAAGGTAAAAAATGCATGAAGACAGAGAAACTGCAAAGTGGAGAATATATTAGAACTGACTATATCAACTGGGAAAAACATAACTTTATTTTTTTTTTTGAGAAGGAGTCTTGCTCTGTCACCCAGGCTGGAATACAGTGGCATCATTTCAGCTTACTCCAACCTCCACCCTCCAAGGTTCAAGTGATTCCCTTGCCTCAGCCTCCCAAATAGGTGGGATTACAGGCACGTGCCACCATGCCTCACTAATTTTTCTATTTTTAGTAGAGATGGGGTTTTGCCATTTTGGCCAGGCTGGTCTCAAACTCCTGACCTCAGGTGCTCTGCCCGCCTCAGCCTCCCAAAGTGCTGGGATTACAGGCGTGAGCCACCGCACCCAGCCATATCCTCTTATATATAACATATAAAACCATTTATATCAAAATTCATTTATGGGGAACTTTAAGAAATAAATCTGAGATAAATTACTGTAACACTGGGCATAACTGATCAACTGTCTCACAGCTAATTTGCTTGGTAAATTTTCCTGGTCATCTGTAGCACCTCTAAATTGTTCAAAGACCAATTTCAGGAGGTTTAATAGAATCACTGGAGCTATCTTACAATGCCTTCTGTGATTTCCAGGTTTTTCTTGAGTGTATTCCTTGAGTGGCAAACACTTCTTCCCAGGAGAACGCTATAAGAGTCATAGAAATTCATGAAAATTATTGGTGTAGGCTACATTTAAACAGATCAGGTCAAAGAAGATCTGGCTTTACTAAAAGACTGCTTACTTTATGAAACAGTCTGTTATAAGACTTCTTTATTTAAATATCTTCTTTACTTAGCAAGATCTCTAGTAAAGGCATTAATTTATTTGCAGTTAAAAATGTATTTGTCTGAATCTAAATTCATATACCTTGCTCTGAGCCTTTGTACATTCTCTTCCTTTCCCATCAACTGGCTAACTTTCACTCATTTTTTTTTTCAGTCTATGTTAAGCTAAAGTTACCAGGCTAAAGTCTCCTATTATTTTCTTCATGGCACTTACTACAAAATAATTTTTAATGTAATTCTTTTAACGTATACATCCCCTGACAGATTTCAAGCTTCATAAGGGAGGGCAGAGGCCACATATATTGGGTTCTCTGTAACACAGCACTCAGTAATACAGTGTTTGGCCTATAGGAAGAGTCCAAGAAATATCAATGACATCATTTAAGATCTTGCTGTTAAAAGAATACAATCTTTTGGTAAGACATAAGACGAAACCTCTGCATATACATCCTTGCCTAAACTCCAAGAACCACTATAGTTCTCAATCAGATCAATGTATAGATCAATGTATCATTTCTCATAGAGATTCTAATAACTGGATCTTGCACTTAAAAGGGAACAGTGATAGGGAAGAATTTGAACTGGCTGAACACAAACCTTTACATTACTGCACCTCTGCATTTCCATTACCTACACCCCCTTTTCCAATGTGCAAGAGATAAATGGAGGAGAGGAGATAGGGAGCAACAAGTGAAAGAGAAATCATCCTCTGAAAGGAGGATTACTAGAGAGCACTGTTACATCTGCCAGCATACAAAAATGGAGATTTGGAATGCCGCTTGCCATCAAGCAATCCAAAAGTATTTTAACAATTCAGCATTAAAGGGAATAACTTTGTAAGTATGCAAAGAGTGACCAAAATGTACTGTTTTAAGGATAATTTCACAGACAAGGAAGATATTAAGGAGAATAACTGATGTGGCAATGTTAGGACTGAGCACTTGCACATTTTACAGCAGTGCAGGGAAGAGGCAGGAGGAGGAAAATGCGACAGAGATGCATGACAGAGGAAAATATGCTCATATCTACTAATACTGCATGCTGACAAAAGCATATTACCAAAATTGAGAGAAGAGTAATCAGTTGGTAATCAAAGTGGTGAAAAGAGGAACTACTAGGTCAATGGCTGATACTGCCACCCTGAAAGCAGGAAAGAGAAAGGAAGGGCGCAAAGACATCTCTATCAGCAGTATCCATAAGGCAGAGATAAACGGTAGCCAAAACGCTAGGAAAGTTCAAGGGATGCCAGAAAATATTCTGATGGTAGGGAATAAAATAGCATAGAGAAGCAGGTTATCAGAGGGCAGGACACAGGGTACCAGCAAGAAGTTACAAGCCTTGAGAGCAGTACACACAGGAAGCATTCACAATCGAGGACTGGTGCTGGTCCCTGGTAGCCGGCTTCACTACTTTTAACTGATTCTTCTCGCACACTGCAATTTTCCTAGTATTTTTCAAAAGACCTCTCTGAATTTGCTTTGTTTTTTTCCCCACATTTGTACCGCAATGTGCATTTAATATTACTTAGGAGAGACTCAAACTTACCAATCTGCTGCACTGCTACAAGTCGGCTGAGTGGCCTGGTCAACATAGTGAAATCCCGTCTCTACTAAAAATACAAAAATTAGCCAGGCGTGGTGGCATGCGCCTCGGTCCCAGCCACTCGGGAGGCAGAGGCAGGAGAAGCCCTTGAACCCGGGAGGTGGGGGCTGCAGTAAGCCGAGTTCGCGCCATTGCACTCCAGCCTGGGCAACAAGGGCAAAACTCCGTCTCGGAAAAAAAAAAAAAAAAAAGTCGACTGAGTGAGGATAGCAGACCATCTCTTTTTTCTCCTTTCTGACTGAGGGGCTTAAGCCTACTAACAGGTACAAAGTTCTCTCCAGAGTCTACTCCTTCTGTGAGCCAAAGGTCTGCTACTAGAGGTTACCTTCCCTGCGGTTGTGACCTCTCCATCTCAACTGCTCTGGTCTTTTCTTTTTTTTGACAGGGAGTCTCCCTCTGTTGCCCAGGCTGGAGTGCAGTGACTCACTCGGCTCACTGCAAGCTCCGCCTCCCGGGTTCACGCCATTCTCCCGCCTCAGCCTCCGGAGTAGCTGGGACTACAGGGACCCGCCACCACGCCCGGCTAGATTGTTTTGTATTTTTAGTAGAGACGGGTTTCACCGTGTTAGCCAGGATGGTCTCGATCTCCTGACCTCAGGATCCGCCCGCCTTGGCCTCCCAAAGTGCTGGGATTACAGGCGTGAGCCACCGCGCCCGGCTGGTTTTGTCTTCTAAAAAATCTTAAGTTTGGCAACTTTGGCTTAATTGCCTAAGTCCAGTTCAGTGGTTTTCAAACTGTGTTCCAAGGAGATGCCTCTAGGATATAGGCGAAGTGGAGTGGTGGGGCCTGGCTCTCTTAAACTTAGTTCCACCAGAGCATGCTGCTTTTTATATACTGGGTTCCAGGTAAAAATTCATGGGGAGAAATTGTTTCACTCCTTTAAAACGTTTGAAAATCACAAGTCTGGATATTGGTTTGTATGGAGTCAATACTCACTGCAAAGCATATTTCATTCAAACCATTGTTGGTTTTTTTTGTTTGTTTTTAAGACCTGGTCTTCGAATGGACGAAAGGTGTATTTTTTATACCCCCTTTCCCCGTCCCCATTTTACTGACGCTAAAAGGAGAGTTTAGGAGTCATCTGGGGCCAGGCACTGTGGCTCATGCCTATAATTCTAGCGCTTTGGGAGGTCTAGGCAGGAGAATCGCTTGAGCCCAGGAATTCGAGGTTACAGTGAGCTATTATCACGGCACTGCATTCCAGCCAGGACGACAGAGCAAGACCGTGTCTCTTTTTAAAAAAAAAAAAAAAAAAAAGAAAAAGTCACCTCCTTATTCAATGTGGCCTTTGAGAACACTGGGGGATATACAAAACAATTATGTATATATCCAGGTACTCACGGTCTATTTTTCATCATTTCACCACAACCAAATGACCAAAACTAGGAATGTGTGGACTGGCCCATGTGTTAAGAAGGTTTTTAAGAGAGGTAAGATTGACAGGTGGAAGCAAAAGGTGTGCAGACACCAAGGTGAGAGCTTTTCTCTTACAGAATCCCAGACTCAACAGCACATTTCCTGACGGGAAGGGCTTCTCTGTCTCCACTTCATTCTCATAAGCCAAATCTGATCCTGGCTTTGGGTAAACCTGCGCTCAGTGGAAGAGCAGGCTTCCTTTAGACAAGTAGATTAGGGGTCGCCTCTTCCTCGCCTCGGGATAAGGGCAAACAACACGGTAGGCTTGGGCGTTGGGAGGACGCCGACAGCGACGCTGGGAAAAGGGGTAGAATCCACGCCGTCCTGCGGCCCCCAGGCCTGTCAGATCCTCACCCGCCCACCCGCCCGCCCGCATTCTTCGGTCTAAACTTACCAGGTGGAAGCCACAACTCCAGACAGGAAGTAACTAACTGGGTTGGATCTGGTCGAGTTCCGCTGCGCTTCTTAGAGCCGCTGCTGGGAAGAAGCTGAAACCCAGTGGCTGCAGGAGTTGCCACCGCCTCTGTTACTGGGGGGTCTCGGCTCCATCGCTGGCTGCGAGGAGTCCGACGGCACGTGACCGGAAGTAGCAAGGCGGGCCCTAGGCACGTGACTCAAGACCGCGGCCGCCATGACACCTTCCGCTAGTTCCCTCCCTCCCCCACGGTTTCCCGCCTGTTTCGTTTCCTCTCTCCGGTTTCGAGCGGCGAAGGGTCCTGGGATCCTGGCCGGCCCAACCATTTGGCCTAGAGCTCCTCTGGTTCCAGTCGGCGCCGTGTCTTCAGCCCGCAACGGCCCTCCGGCTCCAGGCCGTAGACAGCGTAATCGCGACCGCGACCTGAGGGGGAGGGACTACGCGCAAGCAGGGGGCGTGACTCGTCACGTGATGAGGAAGTGCCGTTAGTAGCGTTGTCTCGGGTCCGCGGCTCTCCTGGATGACGTCAGCAAGGAAGGGGAGGAACGGGAGGTGAGACTGAAGTGCATGTTCTGCTGTTAGTGGGCGGTGAATTCCCCGGCGCTAAGTCGGAAGCCAAGATCCGATCCACTGAGAGCTGCGAGGTACTGGCCTGGATGTGGTGGAGCTGGGTTGGGACCTCCGGGCTGCTGGTCTGTGAGCCTGGCTTTGAAAATTGGTTACTGGGTCTCCTCTCAAGAGATCTCAAGATATTAAAGTTACTGCTGTTAAAAAGGTAGTAGTTCCACTAGGCAAGGAACTTTTTGTGGGCAGGGATTGTATTTTGTTCATCCTTGTGTCTCTAGCGGTGTGTTCAGGTCCTGGAACATAGAAGGCACTCGAATGTTGAATGAATGAATGTATGAATGAGTCAGTCGCCATTTGTCTGTCTGAGGCAGAGAGTTGTTTTCTGATCATTTCTTCTTAGAAAGATCCCCTTGTGAAAATGAGACAGTCGGCAACTTCTCCTTCTCATTTCTTCAATTTTTGCTCTCGTATTTCTTTCTCCTCTTTTCTTCCACGCACCTACTGGGGCAAAAGAGAACATATTTGCATTTGATGTGTGAGCAACAGACACTGAACTATTTTACGATAATGGGAAGATGATGAGATTTGGATTCAGGAGACGTGTATTCTAATCTCAGATATACCATTGATGAGCTCTGTGGTCCTTGGGCAAGCCAGTCTTCCAAAAGTTGTTTCATTTACTTTGGTTAAGCATTTGTCGTCAACTTGTATGTTCTTAGTTTTTGGTAGAGTCACTTCACAGAAGTAACATTTAAACTCAGCTTTGCAGAAAGATGGGGTTTTGGTAAATGGGGGAAGATTCCATAAACATCATGTTTTAAACCATGGAGGCACAGCAAGTTTATAGAATGAAAGAGAAAAAAAAGAGTTGAGTCCAATGTAGTTGGAGAATAGGAGAGAGGTTAAGATGGGAAATGAAGAAATAGAGCTATTGAAGGCTTGTACAGTATTAAGTACATACTTTTAAAACTTTATTGTGGAAAATTTCAAACGTAGACAAAAGTAGGATAATAAAATGAACCCTCATGTACACTTAACGCAACTTGGGCAATTATCAGCATTCTGCTGTTCCTGTTTATACTGTTTGTACATTTCTAGGTACTTTTTGTATCCATTGTTGCATTTGATTAATAGCAGCTTTCAATTTGAGCTCAGTTCTACTATATGTAGCTACTGGCTAAGAAGATTTTGTTTATGTAAACAATTTCTTTGGGTTTTAGTTGACCACTTGCTCTGTTGAATCAACGGTGTAACACGGCCACTTAAACACAACTAATACTATTTTAGGTTGTAATATAGAAACTTAGTGTCTAGATCCAGGAAGTTAGTGTTTCTACTCTATTCTGGGCTCATCCAACTGCTTAAGGAGTATTATGCTCAGCACTAGGCACCTCATTTTTAGACAAACTAAAGTACCTCTGTAGAAGGTTGACTGGAACAGAGGGTTGGAAAATGTCATGTCAGGAGTGATGGAGGAACTGGGAATGTTAAATTTTTAGAAGACCTAATAAGACTTTTGAAACACAGAAGGGTTGTTTTGGAAAGAGACAGCTCATTCCCTTCAACTATAGAAGCTACATACAAATAGGAATAATGGTAGAGCTATAAGTGATCAGGCTTCAGGACAGTATTAAAAAGAACCTTTTAACAGTGAGCCCTGTGGAGGACTGGAGTTGGCAGCTTCATGAGAGTGAGTGATTTCTTTCCATTGCTGAAAGTGTTCGGGGACCTAGGGCAAAACTAATTTCTGAATTAGGTGGACATGTTCACTGAATTACCTATGAACCTGTCTCCATGTTGAGAATTCTAGGAAGTAGGGCCCATGTGGGATCTTGAAAGCTGGATACATTTGGGTAAGAAGATCTGGAGGGGAAGCAGTCATTTCAGGGAGAGTAAACATAAATGCGTAAAGTTAGAGTTGGTTTAACACTGTCATCCAGCAGCTTCTCTGAGAATTGGCATTGCTTATGCTGTTTTTATTATCAGTTCTCATTTCTGTTAAATTCTTTTTTTCTTTTCAGTAGAACTTACTAGGTGTGTTCCCCTCCCCACCCCACCCCCACCCCCATTATATTATAACTTGCAGGACATTCTCTTTTCACCGAGATTAAGGCAAAATGACCTATCTACTTTGGAGTTTCTTTCAAGATCACACGTAGAGGAGACACTATGATATTATCATTCCTTTCCATCTCTTGGATCCTGTACTGTGGTTTTATCTTTTTCTTGTATTTTCAGTCCCTTTCGTTTTAGAGTCTACTTTTAGCTACTACCTACAAATCTGTTGAAGAGTCTCCCCAATAATAAAGTCCAGAGAGGTTTTCTCCTTTTCCACCGGACTTCTTGAGTAATTGAAATGTTTTATCCTCATTTTCATACCACCCACCCCTTTTCTCAAATCTTTGTTTTCTAGCATCTAACCACCTACAGCACTTTACAGAAATTATGCGACCTCCCAACACCAAATTCTTCAGTTCCTTTCTGTTGCCTGCCAAGTTAAGTGCAGGCTCTTTGGTTTGAAATTCAAAGTGTTTTGTAACTTGGGCCCAAATTATGATTCCAGCTTTGTCTTTCATTATTCCATTGCTTGTATCCTATGTTTCAGTCAAAGACTAAATTTGCATGCTTCTAGTATATTCTGCATTTTTTTCTTCTCTATATATTTGCACGTTGCTGCCCTACCTGCTACCCTTTCCCTTTTCCTTGAGATAAAAGCGTAGTCAGCATCAGTACTACTTTCCTTAGAGAGTTTTCTTCGGTTCGCTGTAATTCAGTGTGATCCCTCTGTCCTGTAAAGTTCTAACAAAGCAGTTTGCTTATGTTTCCCTCATAAGATGTGTGTGTGTGTGTGTGTGTGTGTGTGTGTGTGTGTGTGTGTGGTATTTGTCTTTTTCTCTCTATTATAAACTGACTGACTTCTGGAATTATTTTACTCGTCTTTTTTTACCACTGTGCCTGGTACTTTACTAGGTACTGAATGAAATGAATGAGTGAAAAGAATGAGGGAAGATTTTCTTAGATCAATAATTCTCAAATATTTTGAGTACAGGCATGTGAAAACTTTTTTTTTTTCCCTGAACATCATTCTCCTTGCAGAGGTCAAGCTGTGTTAGGAACAGTGTTACTAGCAGAAAATCAGATTGTGTTATATGTGTGCAATAAAAAACATTATAGTCTTCGTTTTGCCACTAGAAAGTATGTTCTTTGAGGGTTAGAACTTTATCATATCTAGGACCTAGAATAATGGCTGGCACTTAGGTGGGTGCTCAGTACAAATCTGTTGAATAAATGAGTGATTGAATATATATGTTTCTGAAAAAAAAGTAAAAAACATAAAGCATGAACAAAAAACGAGAATATATGAACAGTTTATGAATTTTTCTGTTGTATTAATTTGCTTTCTAAATTTGGCAGGTAACAAGTGATTGAGAAAAGTTGTAATTTATGAGGAGAATTTTCTTTTCTTTTTTTCTTGAGATTGCTGCAATGGGACATAAAAGTGCATTTGAGAGTAGGTGAACACAAAAACTCTTGTGTTACTTTACAAAGTCCTCCCTGGTTATTTGGCATTTGTTACCTTGCATTCTTATCCCTGTTCTGTCCTATCTAGTCTCTTTTGTTGCAGCTCTTTATTTTTCTTTGTGCTCTATTTCCCTGTACCTTCTCACTTAGATCTGTTCATTCATTCACCTCACTTACTAAGCACCTGCTAGGTTGGAGAGAGAAGTCTAGTGGCCTATTCCTATTAAGCACTGTTAAATTGTTAGCTGATAACTGTAGGGTTTGCTGATAACACTTAATAAGTTGAGACCTTTATGGAAGATTGCATTTTAATGAAAGACTCCTAAAGACAGAAGATTTACTACTCATAGAAATACAGCAGCAGGGTTACTGTTTTGCCTCAGAGGAGATAGGCCAATTTTCCTAAATCCTACTCTGCCTATTCTGCTTACTCACACTGTTAGATAATAGAGGGGGATAGGATTATAGAGGGCCTTGAGAATCTGTACCTGCTACTCTGGGAGTTTTAGAGTCAGGGAATGACACAATGTAAACACACCGTGGCATACAATGTTACCTGTATGTGTTTTCTTTCTAAGTACCTGTATAGTGGGGACTTTCTCATGTTTCATTATGTTCCCCACATATTTGTTAAATGCATGTTAAATGAATGGAGGGCTTCTTAAATTATATTTTTGTGGATTTTATTCAGGTAAGGAATACTGTATCTATCATTCAACAAGTTTCAGCTTTCTGGCTAAATGACTTTTGTGCCAGTGATACCAGAGTCCTACAGCCATGTTCTTGCAGAGTTTGAATCTCTGGATCCATTACTGTCAGCCCTGCGGCTGGACTCCAGTCGTCTAAAGGTGAATTTATTGATCCTTGTATCAGTTTCATTTTCATGTTCTCTTTGTTACTGTGCCCCTACCCTCTAGTTCCTTAACGTTTTATGGAATCTTGGGTGTTCTTACCTGTCCTAGTCATACTTTCGTGGGGAGAAAAAAAGAAAATAAACTTTTTATCTGAAGAATGTGAGCCTCTTTAAATTATCAGGCCAAGGCTGGGTGTGGTGGCTCACACCTGTAATTCCAACACTTTGGGAGGCTGAGGTGGGAGAATCGCTTGAGGCAAGGAGTTCAAGACCAGCCTGGCCAACATGGCAAAACTCTGTCTCTACTAAAAATACAAAACTTAGCTGGGCAAGGTGGCATGCGCCTGTAATCCTAGGTATTCGGGAGGCTGAGGCATGAGAATCACTTGAACTCGGGAGGTGGAGGTTGCAGTGAGCCGAGGTCATGCCACTGCACTGTAGCCTGGGCAACAAAGTGAGACTCTGTCTCAAGAAAAAAAAAATTGTCAGGCCCAGAGAAGCATTGG